TAAGGCATCAGGATAGAAATCGGGAGACTCTGAATTCTAGTCCTGCCTTAGGCACAAAGCCAGCTGGGTGACCTTGGGCCAGTCATTCCCTCTCTGCCCTAAGAAGGAGACAGTGGCAAACCACTTTCAAAAATCTTGCCAATAAAATTGCTTGTCCAGGCAGTTAGCAGGAGTCAACACTGACTTGAAGGCACACACAAAAAAGGGGTATTTTATGTACAGATTAAATAAAGAACACAATTTTTCCTAAATTATAATTAATCACAGTGCTGGTTCATATGTGCAAAGTAACCCAAGTTAATTGAAAGCAAAACCCAAGACTTCCAAATCAGTTGTGTCTGTGCCAGAAGAGAAGAGAGAAAGGGCAAGTATATAAACCCAAAGTTATACATTTAACATTCAGCTGAGGTTAACCTCTAGCATTATTTGTGAGCTGGAACAGATATCCGAGGGTCAGTCTCGCATGTATCAAGCTGAAGATCAAGTGTTCCCCACTCCGTGTGGTATATCGCCTCCGAACATGAAGCTTCATTAAATGGCCTTAGGCAATATTTATTTATAGCCCTTCCCCTATAAATTTATCTACTCTTGAAATTTAAAGCAGTCTAAACAATTGGTCTTCTTGTGGCAGAAGATGCCATAAATTGTGCGCTGTATGAAAAACTGTTTTTCTTTAAAGCTTGCAGGAAAACTTCAGCCAAGAAAACCGAAAAAGGGCTGTTCTCTCCCTACAGGAAGCAAAGCAGGAGTTTTTCCTTAGATCGTGATTTAGAAAATGCTGTCCAATCTACAGCTTGGAGGGTTGCCCACTGTATCATAACCAGGTTTAGCTTCTTACACCAAGGATTTTAACCTTGATCTCCGTAATATTCCATAGTCAGAACGGCTGTTTTTCCTGCTATACAGGTAGTTCTTGACTTATAACTGTAATTGACCCTGGAATTGTGGTTGTAAAATTTTTAAGTGCGCCACCATGTCAGCCTATTTGCAGTAGCCATTAAGTAAACACAGCAATCATTGAGTGAATCCGTTTATACAATGGTGGAAACCGGAAATAAACACTGGAGCTCCTTGCAAAAAAGTTGAAAATCCCAGTCACATAACTGTAGGATACTGCAAACGGTCATAAATGCGAGCTGCCTGCCAAACACCCAAAATGCAGTCATGTGGCCATGGTATGTGTATGTGCATCTGTCAGAACTTCAAAATTGGGTTTAAACATGGCTTATTCTAAGAAGTGCATCTTCCTAGTTCACTACAACTCATTCTCCTTCACCTGCTCAGCGATAAAATAATGAGTGGAAAAAAATGCTGTGAAATCCCTCTTCCTCTTCTATGTTTAAGTTGCAATCTTGAGCTCCTCAGTTTCTGGAGTATGTTGAATTATTCACATATAATTAGCAGTCCATACAAGTCATTATTTCTGCTTGCTTCCATCCTTTATAGTAGCCATCTCAGGACAATGAAGGGGGAAGGAATCTTTGTTTTTAAAGATCTGTTGCTGAGCATTGAAGGAAATGGTCAATGAAAAATTACTACTCTAGACTTAATGGAATAATACTGTGTGGATTGATAACTTTTATCTGCCCAGCATTAGAACTGAGTGATACAAACATTAGCATAGAATTAATAACTCTGGCAAGGGACTTGTACCTGGAACATGTTGATATGGATTAATCAATTATGTTGTGCATTACATTCCTACAGAAAACACAGTCCATCTGAACTTGTATTTTAGACCAGAAAAAGAAAAGGTTTCTTGTAAATATAGTATTTATGGTTGTAGGTCTGTGTGCGTTCTACATCTTTGTAAAATGACAAGGTTGTAAGCCTTACAACTGAACCCAAGTTTGGCCAATGTCACTTGTTCCCTAAGCAAATGAAATGCTGAGCACACTTGTTTGTTCTGTCCATATGCCATTTATTAAACCAACTGTCTTTCTAGAAAGCAATGACCATACAAAATACATTTTTATTCACTACTAAATTCGAGCAGGTCTATATACCAGAGGTAGGAAACCCATGACCTCCACGGATAGATGAATTAAGATTCCTCAAGCCTAACCAGTTCAATCAGTATAAAACACGGGTGTCAAACTCAAGGCCTGCGGGGTGCTTAGATCTGGCCCATGGGCCCACCCTGGAAACAGCAAAGGACCGGCCCGTGGTGCCTCTGCCAGCAAAAATGGAGCTCGGGGAGGCTGTGTGCGGCCTGCCCAGGCTCCATTTTCTGCCGCGACGGCCTCCTGCAGCCCTCTGCCAGTGAGAACGGAGCCTTGATGAGTGATTTCGAGCTGGCCATGCCCACCCTGACCATGCCCCAGCCCCCCACCCCGAGGTGAAACACCCTGATGCATCCCTCAATGAAATCGAGTTTGACACCCCTAGTATAAAAGGAAGATGGGCATTGGTAGTTCAGCACAAGCTGGAGGGCTCTATTATCTGAATCCCATTGGACTTAATAGCAATTACTTCAGGATAAACATGTACAATTACATTGTAAAATAACATTTAAATAATAAATTATGCCAGGAGCACTTAACAACAAGAACCTCAAGGACAATAACAAGGAAAAAAAACGGGTGATTCAATGGCTAAATGTCTGCTTTCAGATACTCGTTTGTTTACAAGATGAGGACCAGTTCTGAGAAAATGGCTCAGTAACTTTAATTCCTTGTTGAGTTACTCCTAATTCTGGGACAACAAAGGAATAATATTTTAATGTTGCTAGTGCTATGTCTTCCTCCTGGCAGCAGTGAGGCACCTATACCATATATCTGACTGCATATATTCCTGGGAGGTGACGCGAGGCTGGCTCCAGGGGATTATAAATGCTTCATTGGGTGAGGGTGCCTTCCCCGCCACCTTGCAGGAGGCGGTGGTGAGGCCTCTCCTCAAGAAGCCCTCCCTTGACCCGACAGTATTGGCTAATTATCATCCAGTCTCCAACCTTCGCTTTTTGGCGAAGGTTGTTGAGAGTGTGGTTGCGCGACAGCTTCCCCAGTACCTGGATGAAACGTCGTATCTGGATCCGTTCCAGTCGAGTTTCAGGCCTGGGTACAGCACGGAAACGGCATTGGTCATGTTGGTTGATGATCTCTGGAGGGCTCGGGACAGGGGTTGCTCCTCTGTCCTGGTCCTGTTAGATCTCTCAGCGGCTTTTGATACCATTGACCATGGTATCATGCTGCACCGGTTGGAAGAGTTGGGGGTGGGAGGCACCGTACTACGGTGGTTCTCCTCCTTTCTCTCTGACCAGTCGCAGTCTGTGTTGACGGGGGCAGAGGTCGACCCCGAGGCCCCTCATATGTGGGGTGCCGCAGGGATCGGTCCTCTCACCCCTTTTGTTCAACATTTATGTAAAGCCGCTGGGCGAGATCATCTGTGGTTTCGGGGTGAAGTACCACCAGTATGCTGATGACATCCAGCTGTACATCTCCACCCCAACGATGTCCTTGAAGTGATGTCCCGGGGCCTGGAGGCCGTATGGATCTGGATGGGGAGAAACAGGCTCAGGCTCAACCCATCCAAGACCGAGTGGCTGTAGTTTCCGACGTCCCGATACAGTCAGCTGGTGCCATCGCTGACTATTGGGGGCGAATCATTGGCCCCCACGGAAAGGGCTCACAACTTGGGTGTCCTCCTGGATTCACGGCTGTCTTTAGAAGAGCACTTGACGGCCATGACGGAGGATTTTTCATCAGGTTTGCCTGATCCGTCAGTTGCGTCCCTTTCTAGATCGGGACACTCTACACAGAGTCACTCATGCCCTTGTCACCTCTCGTCTGGACTATTGTAACGCTCTCTACATGGGGCTCCCCTTGAGGTGCATTCGGAGGCTCCAACTGGCGCAGAGTGCGGCCGCGCAGGTGGTTATGGGAGCGACGTGGAGTTCCCGTGTAACACCTCTCCTGCGTGAGCTGCACTGGCTCCCGGTGGTCTTCCGAGTGTGCTTCAAGGTTCTGGTTATCACCTTTAAAGCGCTTGATGGCTTAGGACCTGGTTATCTACAGGACCGCCTGCTACCACCAATAGCCTCCCACCGGCCAGTACGCTCCCATAGAGAGGGGCTCCTCTGGGTGTCGTCGGCCAAACAATGTTGACTGGCGGCCCCTAGGGGGAGAGCCTTCTCTGTGAGGGCACCTACGATCTGGAACGAGCTCCCCCTGGAGATACGGAGGATCCCAGATCTGCGCACCTTCCGTCGCACGCTTAAGACTTTTTTATTTCATCAAGCTGGCCTGGCCTAAATCTTCTCCCCTTTTTAAATGTAAATTTTAATTTGTTTTTAAATTATGGGGTATTTTAAATTTGTTCAGCCAAATTATTTAATTCGTTTTTATTCTATTTTAAATTTTTGTATTTATGTGTTTTATCCTGTAGCTGTTCACCGCCCTGAGTCCTTCGGGAGTAGGGCGGTATAGAAATTTAATAAAATAAAATAAAATAAAATAAAATAAAATAAAATAATAAAATAAATAAAATAAAATAAAATAAAATAAAATAAAATAAAATAAAATAAAAATATCCTATAATTGCTGTTGCTGATTTGTATGAGGAGCCTGACTTCCCCATGGAGGGAGCAGCTTGCAGTAAAAGGATTAGCCTTCCACCTTGGAATCCTGGACTGTGTTCTATGAAAGAACAGCTATTCTACCTACTCGTTTTCATTTTCCATTTCAACCTTGCTTTACACAAGGCTACTTTAAAAGAGTCCTATACTGGACATATGTAGTCCTTTTCATCTTCTGCTAAAAGACACACAAGTCAGTCCCACACAACCTGACCCATTCCACATTTATTAATAATCCTTCTATATCTTGTAGAACCTGTGGACTTGGCAAGGTAATAAAGGCTAGCAGTCTATAAATTAGAAATTCAAAAGTGTGATGTTTCCTTTGTACTGCATTGCGTTTGTATTCTAATCTTCTGCTGTAACCCTGAAAGGACTATTAAAGGATGAATCACCTTGCTAATTTATTTTTCTGTGCTTCTTTCAGGTTTCGGTGGACATCAACAGTAGTTCAATCCATGTGTCAGTGGTAGAGGAAAGTGGACACCGAGTGCTCATGGAAGGTGCCCTTACCCACAAGATCAACACAGAGAACTCTGTCTGGAGTTTAGAACCTGGAAAATGTATTCTAGTAAGGACTACCTCATCATTTCCTTTCATGCACTCTTGTGTTTGCACATATACATACCCTGTAGGTATTCCTCAATTTAGGACCACAATTGGGATTGGAATTTCCATCATAAGTCATTGCAGTCATAATTTGAGTCAGATCTGATTTTACGACTATTTTACGATGGCTATTAAATCCATTGTTATTAAGTGAATGCCACGGTTGTAAGTGTGGACTCATTCCTCTGAATGGGCAACGGGCAAAAAAAGGTTGCAAATTGCGATCATGTTACTACGGATCACTGCAACCGGTTATAAATATGAACCGGTTGCCAAGAGCCCAAATTGTGATAGCAGTAGTACTAGTCTTAGACTTATACACCATTTCATACACCATTTACAGCATTCTCTGAGTGATTTACAGAGTCAGCATATTGCCTCTAACAATCTGAGTCCTCATTTTACCCACCTCAGAAGGATGGCAGGATGAGTCAACCTTGAGTTGGTCAGGATCGAACTGCTGACTGTAGTCACAGTTAGCCTGCAATACTTCATTCTAACCACTGCATCACCACATATGATCATATGACTTTAGGGATAATGCAAGAGTCATAAGTTTGAGGACCTTTTTCAGCAGTGTCATAACTTCGAACAATTGCCAAATGAATGGTCATAAGTCAAGGACTACCTATATTATATATTTGTTGGAAGTATAGATGAAAACACGACTTGTGCTCCTAATTCTTTAATTTTCTTCCCTAGCTGTTTATAATCTCTTGTTATTGTTTTCAGGTTCATTGTTATGTCATTGGTCCCCACATGTAGGGGTTCATTCGTGTTTTTTTTTTTTTTTAAAGTTTGACATCAGCCAAATATTGTTGTTTTATACTGATTCTGTTTTCCTTCTCCTGAAAACGACCAGTTCGTTCTCACAGGGAGGGACTACTCAGGGTACCGTCAGTCAAATTATGCCGACTGGCAACTCCCAGGGGGAGGGCCTTCTCTGTGAGGGCTCCAACCCTTTGGAATGAACTGCCCCCTGAGATATGAAATATCCCTGATCTCTGTGCTTTCCGCCGTGCCCTCAAAACCCTGATGTTCCAACAGGCGGGGCTAAACATATGAAAATGTGAATGATTTTTAAAAATGTTATCTAATTCTGGGTTTTATTTAATTGACCAAACTAAGTAATAATTTTAATTAGCAATTTTATGATGTTTGTGTATCTATATTTTTCTTGACTGTACACCGCCTTGAGTCCTACAGGAGAAAGGCGGTATAGAAATATAATAAATAAATAAATAAGTAAATGTAGGAGAAGAAAGGGGTAGTAATCCATGGGGTTGATTATTTTAGGAAGGTACTAGTTACATCTTTGATTCTTGCTCCAGAGAGATTATATAACTCCTTAGACTGCCTGCCTGGTCTGCAGACTATAGTTTCTGGTCCCCTAAGAATTGAGCCTCCTATCACCAATATTCGCCTTTTTTCTGCTAGGGAAGTCTGGAATACTTTTCTTCCTGTCGCAGGAATACTTGGTTGTGCCTCTTTTTTTGGAAACTATTGATGAATGCTCTTTTGTGAGTATCTATATTTTCTTCCAGGGGGAAACTATGAAAACAATTGTTCCTTTCCAGAGGTGCTTCATTGGAGTGGGCTATAGTAGATAGTAGGGACTTTGCTCTTGGTTGTTTTCTTCTAAGAGTGACATGTTGCCATTGGTCTTGCTGTTGGGATACATATGTAGGCTTCTTTTTTTATGGAAGTTGTTTGTTCCCTATTGTGTTCTATTTGAGTGTATCGGTTTTCTTCTTTATGTTCATATATGGGGTCATTTTTTTAAAAAGCTGTCTGCTCCCTATTATGTTTTATTTTGGTATAGTCCTCTTGTTTAAGTTGGGATTTCTCATTTTACTCATTGATTTTCAAAGTGGCTAGACTTGTCTCTAAACCTTTTAGTTTGTCTTCTAATAATTCAAGTAGTTTACATTTAATAGATTCATAGTTTGGATCTTCTGTGAGCATAAGCTGAAACATATGGCACACTTTACAAGTCACTATAGTGTCTATCTCCATGACTTTTTTCTTTGTCTGTTTGCTAAAAAAATAAAACATTCTAAAAATTTAAATATTTTCCGTGTTGCGAAGCATCAGTTTACAATACTTTATAAGAGTTCTTGACCTTTTGTTTTCTGTCTTTAAAAATTCTTCACTCTATCCTGTTTTTTCTATGGTTTTTTTATTTTTTCTTCTTAGATCATTAAGAAATTAAAATTTCCTAAAGAAAAATAAGTAAATTTTAAAAAAATGTTTATTTGAAAAAAGAAATTGAAAAAAGAATTTTATTAAAAAATTGAAAAAAGATTTTCAAAATTGAAAAAAGAATTTCAAATTAAAATTATATTTAAGAGTTAAAAAAGGAAGATTAAAATTGGAACAAGGAATTTTAAAATTGGAAAAAAAATTAAAAAATGAAAAGGAATTTTTTTTAAGAAAGGGAATTCAGAAATTTTTTAAAAATAAGAATTTACAAGAGTTTTTGGCCCTTATGAAGTAATATGCACTTTTATTGTTGGAAGGCTATTTTCTAGGAGATGATGCTTTGCTCTTAACCCTCTACTCCCTGACTATCCTTTTTCTCCTTGTCCACAAGTGTTTTGCATTTATTCTTTTCCCCCCCAGATTTCTTGCCCTTTGGTTGCCTGGCCACTGCCGGGGTTTTCAGGTATGATATGCTAATGTGGGCACTCTGTTTAGCTGGTCCACCACACTGTTCTCAGCTGCTGCTGGTCTGCCAGCCACTGCTGTGCATGCTGCTTCTCAGCTGGTCCTCTGCTGCTCTCAGCCACTGCTAGTCTACCACACTGCTCTTAGTCTCGGCTCAGGGCGCTTCACTCCTCTGTCATGTAGCTCTGCACTGCTGCTGCTCAAGGTCTGCCGTGCTGATCACAGCCACTGGTCTGCTGCCACCTAGCTTTGTTTCACCACTACCCAGTGGCCTCCATTTGCACTGTACTGGCTCCGCTCAGGTGGGTCACTGGGCTGCCTCTCTGTCTCTCAGCTCGGCTGTCTCTCCTTCTCTCAGGTGGGTCGCCTCTCAGCTGGGCCACCTTTCAGTTGGGCCACCTCTCAGCTGGGTAACCCTTCCAAAAACATAATATGATGGACATACATTCCTTTTGAAGAGCATAGTGAAGGCATTGCTAATTTTTGCTGCAAAAACATCATGTATAACTGCATATATAACTCCACAGTTTTGCTTTTAATGTTTGATATTCTTTGCTATGAGGCTTTTCCATGCGCTCTGTCATCAAGACACTAACCAGACCTGAAATGTTATCCTTTAACAGAAGTGCTTCATCTTGAGGTTTCAGATCATGTTCTTCCTTTTACATTAAAAGACTGATACAGACTTTTAACTCTTGCTTCTTATGTCAATTTTTTTTATTACTGGTCTGTTTCTCCTTCCCTTTCTTTTCTCTAGGGCCCTGTAGCTCTTTAAACGGCCTCAGGCTTCTCCGTCCCTCATCCTTACTCTTCTGTCAACGTCCTAATAGAAAATGGGAGCTGGGGAGGACCCTGTATTCACTCTGGAATTCTTGGTGGAGTCATAAAATAAGGGAGAATCTTTAGAAGTCTGAAAGAGGTGGAGGGTTGAAAAATTAACTCTTTCCAAGTGCAAAAATGCCTCTGCTTGGATAGGTAGTTCTCAACTTACGACCACAATTGAGCCCAAAATTTATGTTGTTAAGTGAGAAATATGTTAAGTGAGTTTGGCCAATTTTATGACTTTTCTTGCCACATTTGTTAGGTGAATCACTGAAGTAGTTAAATTAGTAATACAGTTGTTAAGTGGATCTGGTTTTCCCATTGACTTTGCTTGTCAGAAGGTCGCAAAAGGTGATCACATGACCCAGGGACACTGCAACTGTCACAAATGTGAGTCAGGTGCCAAGCATCTGAATATAAATCACCTGATAATGGGGATGCTGCAACTGTGGTAAGTATGGAAAATGGCCATAAGTCCCTTTTTTCAGTGCCGTTGTAACTTTGAACAGTCACTGTTGTAAGTTGAGGACTATCTATAGTTTATTAGAAGCATAGGGAGTTGCTGTATCCTGTTCTGTCCCCATACCACGCACACACCCACAGACGGCCCGGAGTTAATAAGCCACACGACAAAACTCTTTGATGATAAAGCTGGCAGCAACCCAGTGGCTAGCTGCCAATTCAGACTTTACTCATACAAAACAAAGATTAGACTGCAGCATTCCGATAAAACAGGCAGAGTGTCAATAATACCAGGATTAGTCCAAATGCAGTCCGATAAAGCAGGCAAAGTCCAGTAACGCAGAGATCATGGAGTATTTCCAGTTTTTTGCTTGTCACAAACTGAACCGGCCACCACACCCACATTTATACCCTGTGGGGTGTGGTCCAGTGACTCAGCTAATCTCTGGCACGCCTTCCCCTCTGCTGTGCACGCTTCTCCCTGCGCCTCTGTCGAGGGTCCAGCAGCACTTATCTTCCTCGTCGCTGTCCACCTGTGGCTGCGGGGACGTGCTTGGCTCTGAGCCTATCGTTTGGCCTTCGGTGTCCTCCGGAGGCATTGCCAGAGAGGAGGGTCCTGGAGAGGGAGGCCTTGCCAACTCCTCCCCCTCACTCTCAGAGTCTGCATCTGTCGATAGCCCAGGCTCAGGCAATGGAGCCACAACATATCCTAACTTCAACCCAATGGTCTAAGTCACAGCTGAAGTCATATCAGAAGTGGGCAGCTGGAACACTCAGGTCCAGGTTGCAACCCTCAGTCCCCACTTATTTTTGTTGAAGTTCTTGAAACTTCTTTAAAAGCATTTAAAATGGAAAACACATTAAAATGGTATTCTGAACCTCAAAATAGTTCTTCCCAAACAGAAGAAAAATCTGGCTCTGCCCACAGATGTGATGTGTTCCCATCAACTTTGCTTTGTTGTTAACTCTCACTTCAACCTTCAACCTTCCCAAAAATATTGAGGTGCTAAG